GAAAAGAACTTGAGATTCATATTGTATCTTTTCCATTTTTATATTTCTCATGCTTTGGAATATAATTTCTAATGCTTCCTCGTGAAAAAAGGAAGCTCAGTAAATGTCATGAAGTGAATCCATTGGTTTTGCCATAAAAAACACTAACATTGACACCTGACCTCATTTGCTTCTTTCCTAACCCAATAGTAGATGCATGAAGATACAGCATTCAGTAGAGAAGTTGTCCTGGAGTGGTTAGCACACAACCTTTGGAGTCACACAGAGATACACATTCAAATTCCAGCTGTACCAATGATTATTCTTGTGACCTCAAGCAGATTACTTCTCTTCTGTGAGCCTGTGTTTCTGCATCCAGGAGCTGTGAATCATTCACTAACCTCTCCTTGTAGAAAGTGGTCATAAAGATTTTATGAGATGTTGCATGCAAAATACTTCACGTAGTTCCTGATGTCCCATAAGCATTTTATCAATAATAATTATCTATTATTATCATTAGGTTTAATTATAGCCAGAAAATAGATAACATGGTATTAATGTAAGAAATATGAGGAGACTACCTTTATATCAATTTTATTAGTTGATTAAAGACATTTATGGTAGAATATCTATTAAAATGTATAGAATCAGGTGGTATCTGAAGACAGCCATAATGAACCTGACTTTGTCAGTACTTTGATGCTTTTAGTATATTTTTTTTCCTTCATGCTGCTAAATTTCCTCTCACTTCTTTCTGATAGATTTCCCCCTCAATTTCTTGATTTCCTTTGCTGAAACCCCTAAATGTTGGTGTGAGGAAAATGTTAGTGCTGTGGATTAATTACCTTTTCTGTTTCTATAGCATAATAGTAACTAAAAGTTACCATTTTTCTATATTCTAAGGCCTAGTGATCACACTCACTTTCTGGAAAAGTATGAAATGGGTTGTACTCTGATTTTTCTTATGGTTACAAATGTATATGTATTTACCTCAAGATTGTGAAGCCTGTTATGGGAACCTTAAAGTAGCATTTAATTGTCACTCTAAACATGTCACCTCTTGATCTTTTAACTTCTCTATTTTCTTACTCCTCTGCCATAAGAAAGGCCAAGATGTATCCAAATAATGAGTCAACACCATTTATAAATGCCCTTAGTAAATGAAGCACATCATACATGAGGAATTCCACAGAAACTTATATAAAAAGGATAAAGCTAAATCAGAACATAATCAATAAATTTAGGTAAGGCCTATAAAGGCATAATTAGCTGGCCTTTGGGCAAACTTTCCTAAATGTGTTCAACAACATTTTTGTTGTTGTTGCACACATTATCATTTATTAGTGATAAATAAATATTTCATGGTTAGGCTGAAAGTTTAGACCAAATTAAAAGTGAATTGCAAGGGTCAAATGATTTTCTTAATTATTTTCTTACTCTATTTTCCTTTTTATTAAAAAAAAATCTTGATTTTAAGAGCTACTTTTAAAACCATTTAAGATTATTCACCATGACGTCAAATAGAATTGATCCATTATTTCCCCCTCATAGGAATTTGCTGTGCTTTCTCACTACCCAAAGTAAAATTAATTTCTTTAAGCATCTCATGTATCTTGTCTGTTACATTCATATCTAATGCAAATTATTAAACACTGACACTTCTCATAACCTTCATTCAAAGGGGACTTACATTTCAATTTGGTTTAGTAACTATTTTATCCCACTTTAAAGATGGACAAAGACATAACAGTTTCTTAATAACCAGTTTCCACAGAAGCCCCACCGTACATACACAATCAAGTGTGTCTGTAGAGAGATACAGAGAAGTCTTTGTAGGCCTTCAACAGAACACAACATGGATAACAGGGTAGAGAAGAGCCAACAAGTAGCTGTTTTCTAAGAATGGTATATTACTTAAAGAAGTCTCCATTTCAAAATGCCTTCAGGTATGAGAAAAAAATTTAGGACACCCTTTAATGCATTATGAACAAGTGGGGATGCACTACATAATGTTGGTATTCTGGGAGACCTTGGATCAAGAAGGATAAATCAATACTTCATGCATATATAACTTTTCCTTTAAAGAAGCTCAAAGCCTTGTTTTCTTCATCTGAACAAAGTTGAAGCAACCCCAAAACTCTTACTGAAAACTTCATTTTCTTTTAATAAGTTTGTATAAATATCAGATAATCTTTCCCTCAAAGTCCTAGTAAGCAGTTCTATGTATTTCACTCTTGTTTTACATAGAGAGTGTCTAGGATGTTAATGAGTATTCAGGTTTTTGAATGCATAATGATATTTCCACATGTAGGCCAGAGAAAAGGCAGTTTGGTTGAATGCTCCTTTCTTTCCTTTCTTCCATACCCATGTGCTATATTAGGATTTTGAAAAATGTAAGGAACAGTAACATTCCACTTTTCCACCTATCAGATTTCTAGCAAAATCAATCACCTGGAGAACAACTGAAAGCCAGAATTAAATGAATCACCTGAGAACAGCAAATAATGAAAAAAAAAATCTGTTTTAGAGCCTCGGTCTTGTACTCTTAGACAAGCATGTATAGGAAATTGAGGTTATCATTTTACCTAGCTTGTCTCCCTGATTTCCTCTGAAAACACTATGCCTACCTTGTGTTAGAATGTATAGCTATTTTAGAGGTATTAGCAGACACTGTTCAAAACATATGTCCACAGCTATGAAAACTGATAGCTAACTCACAGAAGAGGAAATAAACTATGATTTAATAGGACCATCAAACTATAGTCATTAGTTGACCAATGATTAGATGATTCATTTAATCATTCCACACATACCTATTGAAAGAATATTTTGTGCAAATGGAACAATATGCACAAATGTATGGGTATATGAGAGCATTGCTTGTAGGGGGAACAGAAAACATTGAGTGTGACTAAATAAAAGGAACATTAGGACAGGGGAGTAGACAGCAATGGTGATAATCAGAGGTGGGAGCCAGAGTGTAGAGGGTCTTCAGTGCTCAGAATTTGAATTTTACTTGGGGATAATGAGAAGCCACCACCAGAAGCTTTTAAGTTTGAGAGTAACATGATTGGATTTGTGGTTTGAAAAATTCACTCTGTGAAAATGTGGGAAGCAATAGGAGTATTCTGTTTTTGCTTGCATAAAAGGGAAATATATATATATATATATATATATATATATGTAATATATAATATTCATGAATTTGCTTTGAAAGGACAAATAAAAACTGTTAATACTGGATGCCTCTGAGGGAGGAAAATGAGGATCTGTGACTTAGGCTTTGTTTTGCTTGGGGGAGACTTACTTTTTGCTGTCTGCCCTTTACACTGTTTGATTTTCACTATGTGTCTTAGCCCTCATTCTCTGTAAGTAGAGCCTGAGGCTAGATTAACGTGCTGACAGTTTATTTGGGAGGGCAAGTATAGGAATTTGAAGGTAAAGAACAAAAGGGTAAGTGAAACAAGGAAAGGCACGAAGCAGTGGCAGGCAGTGAATTCCTGAGCTGGTTTTTGCTTCATCACGGGCACTGTGGAGAGACATGGTTGTTCTCAGCAGGTGTGTTTGTTCAGCACCACTGTTGCTCGACTTTTCTGGAAAGCTTGAAAAGAGGACCTGCTTCTTGGAGTAGTCCTCTGAATGCTGAAGGGAGAAGGGGTTTATCTGCCTGACTCATTTATTGATGAAGTTCACCTCATGGGGAGCTAATACCCACTACTTCCAGATTGCATCATCCTGGTACTCAGAGGGCATTCAGGAAGCCAGATCATGCAGCATCGTGGCACATTTCATTCATGTCCAAAAATGGCTTACTACATTTAGGCTTGGCATATGAAATACAGTGCATATGTCAGTCTAAGGCTTTGACTTGGATTCCAGCCAGCTCAGTGAACTCCACAAAGGAGGTACAGTCCAAGAGGTGGGCAAACATATGTGAAAAAATACATACTTTTGATGCATTTTGAGAAAGTACATAGATTTGTATCCAGAACATTTTTTAATGTATCATTTTTAAGGCTACTGGGGAAAAGAACATGCTTATTCTAATAGCAGTGTGAAAGGTGATTTGCAGAAAGACTAGAGGTGAAGCGTCTATTTAGGGGGTAATATTGTAGCATATTTAAAAGCAGAGACATTACTTTGCCAACAAAGGTCCATTTGGTCAAGGATATGGTTTTTCCAGTGGTCATGTATGGATGTGAGAGTTGGACTGTGAAGAAAGCTGAGTGCCGAAAAATTCATGCTTTTGAACTGTGGTGTTGGAGAAGACTCTTGAGAGTCCCTTGGACTGCAAAGAGATCCAGCCAGTCCATCCTAAAGGAGATCAATCCTGGGTGTTCATTGGAAGGACTGATGCTGAAGCTGAAACTCCAATACTTGGGCCACCTCACGAGAAGAGTTGACTCATTGGAAAAGACCCTGATGCTGGGAGGGATTGGGGGCAGGAGAAGAAGGGGACGACAGAGGATGAGATGGCTGGATGGCATCACCAACTCGATGGGCATGGGTTTGGGTAGACTCTGGGAGTTGGTGATGGGCAAGGAGGCCTGGCGTGCTGTGACTCATGGGGTCACAAAGAGTCGGACACGACTGAGCGACTAAACTGAACTGAACTGAACTGATTGTGGCTGCTTCATTGACAACAGGTGAACTAAAGCAGTAGAAGTAAGAAGACATATAAGAAATATTCAAAAAATAGCTTCCATGAGACTAGGTTACTGACTGATTGTTAATAACAAGGCAGAAGATGTCAAGAATGACTGTAAGACTTATATGTTAGACTATAGATAAAAAACTGGAAGAATAACTCAATTCGATTTCTGAGGGAAGATAATGAGGTCAGTTTTGCCCATGTTGAACTGAAGATGACAGAAGTTACATTCTGATAATGATATCCTGTTTATAGTTGGAAATATATACCTGAAGTTCAAAACAAGATCAAGCGTCTACCCGAGACATTTTGGACCATATGGATATAAATGGTAGGTAAACTTGAGTTGTTTGAAAGAATCTAGAGATCATCAAAGGGTATTTTCATTAACATCTGTATAAAAGGAAGAAATAGCCTGGACTGCGGTTCTGCGCTCAGAGCCGGCCTGGCCTGTACCTGGTGGCCGCGGCTGCGTCCTGTCTCCAGCCAGGCCCCAGGCGCCATGGCGTCCCGAGGGAGGAAGCGGAAGGCCGAGGCGGCACTGGCCGCAGCGGCCAAGAAGCGGGAGAAGCCGGTCGGCGGCCAGGATGGGAGAGTGGAGGGGCCGAGCGTCGTCATCGAGCACTGCACGAACTGACGCGTCTACTGGCACAACGCCGCGGCTCTGAGCCAGGTACTGCGCCGCAGGCCCCGGAGCTGGCAGTGAAGGTGAACGCCGCCAGGCCGCGGAGGGGTAGCTTCGAGGTGACGCTGCAGCAGCGCGGAGCTCTGGACGGGTCTTAAGAAGGGGCCCCCACGCATACTCAAGTTTCCTGAGCCTCACGTGGTGTTGGAGGAGCTGAAGAAGTACCTTTCGTAGGGAGGTGGGGCAGAAGGCATCTGGCTGAGCCTCCGTCCCTGGTGATGTTGGAGCATTTATGATGGGACATGGCCAAACTTCAGTCATGTCCCCGAAGCTGTGGTTTCCTTCCCTCCTGAATCGATGGTTCAGTTGTGAGGCAATCCTCTAGTAAGACATTGAAAAGTTCTTGGATTTGGTTTAATAAAAATTAAAGGATTTGAGTTGATATATATATAAAAAAAGGAAGAAATACATGCACTACATTTAGAAATGTATCCATCGTAATGATGAATCTATTTTCAGGGAAGGAATGGAGACACAGATAGAGAGAAGAGACTTGTGGACACAGTAGGGGAAGGAAAGAGTGGGACAAGTGGAGAAAGTAGCATCAACATATATACACTTTCATGTGGAAAACTGATAGCTGGTGGGAAGTTGCTATATAACACAGTTTTATGCTCTGTGATGAACTAGAAGGCTAGGATGAGGGAAAGGAGGGAGGATCAAGAAGGAGGGTATATGTGTATAGTTATGGTTGCTTCACATTGTTGTATAGCAGAAAGCAACACAACATTGTAAAGTAATTAACCTCCAATTAAAAATAATTTTTAAAAAGGAATAAAAAAGAAATATATCCATCAAAATGATTTGTCTTAACATTTAATAAGTACTTTAGTTTTATTAAGGAGAAAAATTGAAGTTACACTACCAGTAGTCAATCAACATATATGGATCCCCATCATGAATAGATCATGATGCTAAGTGTTCTGAGGCAATAATAAAGTAAATGGTAGGCAGGATACCTCACAGACATGCTGACAATATAAGGCAAAGATAAACTAGATGCACAAAACATAGACATTAACCACTTAATAAAAGCTACTACAGACATTATTAATCAAACCTGTATACACCCAAAGCAATCAAAATATATATGCATAGTAACCACAAACATGTTTAAAAAACAAAAAGTTATTTATTAATCTGAACAGAGTTGTTATGGAACCACTCTTTGTTATGCTTAACACATAACAATAATTATGTCAGTAGTCATAGTATCTTGATTAATCATAGATAATCTTTACTCAGGTCTCAGTCAGTCATTCAGTTGTTCAATTGTGACCTCATGGACTGCAGCATCCCAGGCTTCCCTGTCCATTACCAATTCTGAGAGCTTACTCAAACTCATGTCCATCAAGTTGGTGATGCCATCCAACCATCTCATCCTCTGTCATCCCTTTCTCCTCCTGCCTTCAGTCTTTCCCAGCATCAGGGGCTTTTCTGATAAGTCTGTTCTTTGCATCAGGTGGCCAAAGTATGGGGGTTTCAGCTTTAGCATCAGTCCTTCCAATGAATAGTCAGGGCTGATTTCCTTTAGGATTGATTGGTTTCATCTCCTTGAAGTCCAAGGGACTCTCAAGAGTCTTCTCCAGCACAACAGTTCAAAAGCATCAATTCTTCAGTGCTCAGCATTCTTTATGCTTCAACTCTCACATCCATACATGACTACTGGAAAAGCCATAGCTTTGACTAGATGAGCCTTTGTTAGCAAAGGAATATCTCTGCTTTTGAATATGCTGTCTAGGTTTGTCATAGCTTTTCTTCCAAGGAGCAAACATCTTTTAATTATATGGCTGCAGTCACCATCTACAGTGATTTTGGGGCCAGAGAAAATAAAGTCACTGTCTGTCACTGTTTCCATTGTTTCCCCATCTGTTTGCCATGAAGTGATGGACCAGATGCCATGATCTTCATTTTTTGAATGTTGAGTTTTATGCCAGCTTTTTCACTCTCTTCTTTCACATTCATCAAGAGGATCTTTAGTTCCTTTTTGCTTTCTGCCATAAATGTGGTATCATCTGCATATCTGAGGTTATTGATATTTCTCCTGGCAATCTTGATTCTAGCTTATGGTTCATCCAGCCTGGCATTTCACATGATGTACTCTGCATGTAAGTTAAATAAGCACAGTGACAATGTACAACTTTGACATACTCCCTTCCCAATTTGAAGCCAGTTCATTGTTCCATGTCTGGTTCTAACTGTTGCTTCTTGACCTGCATACAGATCTCTCAGGAGGCAGGTCAGGTGGTCTGGTATTCCCATCTCTTGAAGAATTTTCCACAGTTTGTTGTGATCCACACAGTCAAAGGCTTTAGAATAGTCAGTGAAGTACAAGTAGATGTTTTTTTCTGGAATTCTCTTGCTTTTTCTATGATTCAACAGATGTTGGCAATTTGATCTCTGATCCCTCTGCCTTTTCTAAATCCAGCTTGAACATCTGGCAGTTCTCGGTTCACATGCTGTTGAAGCCTCGCTTGGAGAATTTTGAACATTACTTTACTAGCATGTGAAATGAGTGGAATTGTGCAGTAATTTGAACATTCTTTGGCACTGCTTTTCTTTGGGATTGGGATGAAAACTTACTCAGGTCTAAAGGATCCAGATGGAGAGCAGTATAAACACGAATATTTTCAGGCCCAAAATTCAGTGATGGGAAGAACTGACTTTGAGATAATGAATCTTGTTGGTATAGACTAAGTTCAAGTTTTAAACCTTTGCTGAATCATGTCCTACTCTGCAACCCCATGGACTGTAGCCTGCCAGACTCCTCTGTCCATGGAATTATCCAGACAAGAATACTCGAGTGGATTGCCATTCACTTCTCCAGGGGATCTTTCTGACCCAGGGATAAAACCCATGCCTTCTGCATTGAGGGTGGAATCTTTACTGCTTGAGCCACCAGGGAATATATAAACTTGGCTAATTCAAGACTAAGTGATAAGAGTAGACTAATTTTCCCCTGAACCAGAATGCTCATCATTTATCAAATATTTATTATGTGTTGAATACTCTGTACTTTAAATCATTTATCTCGTTTAGCAGTTATAATTATTCCAAGGCAAAAATCCCTATTTTACAGTGAGGAGACTAAGATTCAGACAGGCTGTCATTTTCCCAGGCATGTGCAAAAGTTGTAGTCCTGATTAAAATTGTGGTAGCCATTATTAGCACCCTCCAATGTATTCAGTTCTCTTTTCATTCTAGTGTGCAGAGGATTATACTTCCCCACCTCCTTGAAATTAGAGGAGGCCATATAACTAGTTCTGCCTGATGTAACGAGATCAAAAGTGGCATGTCACTTACTAGAAGAAGCATTGAAATGCTTGGGCTCAACTCTCAAGCCCTGTCTTCCCATGTTGCAGTGGACACTTGAGTTTTGTATTAAAATGACAGCATTTTAAGTTAGTGGAGATTCCATCAATTTGAATGACATTTATGTGGAGCAAAGTTCCTTAACCTTCTACTCCCTACCCTCTGGTCAGCCTACATTGGATATGTAACAATAGGTAGAAATAAACTGTCAGGGAATGTTTAACAGGAGGATTCCTTTGTGCCGTTTCTTATAAATCCTCTGTTCCTTATCAGTTTCTGGCAACAGAAACTAGTGGAACAGCACACCACTCCCAGGACTGAGGTCATAGGATGAGACATGCATGAATCTCCTTCAGTAAACATTCTCCTTATGACAAAACTGCTTAGTTTCCATCCTCTTTCTTGAGATATGGATTGTCTCCTGACCCTATGACCATTGTTAATCCCTTGTTCCCTTGGGAATGGTCACTGTACCTTTGGTTTTCTGATCTTTATCATTGTCAAAAGAAATTCCTTGTACAACAGCCTATATATACTCACAGAAAGATCATTAAAGCACTTTGCTCCATCAGAGCTTGGGTCCCCGTGTCTCTCTCTCTCTCTCTCTCTCTCTCTTTCTCCTCCCCCCCTCCGGCTAATTCTCTGGAGTGTAGAAACCTGCCAAACTCATTCTCCTGACCGAGTTTTCAAGACCCCCTTGAGAGGGCGCCCTGTGCCTTCGTGACCGGTGCAATCCCTGTTCTAGGGTTTTATTGGTTCTTTGCATAAACCAGGGAGTATCAGCTTCTTTCTTTCTTTCACTTTCTTATCGTCGACTCCGGACAACCAGGTTCCAGTCCATTAAAGGACCGCAACAATAAACCTTTGTTATTTTATTTAAGCCCCTGAGATTTTGGAGTTTGTTGATACCACAGAATAGCCTAGCCTATCTTGACTCACAAACAGTCTCCATATATTTGCTCCATGTTCTGCCCTCTTTCCATTATGCACCACCACTTTTTTGAATTGACTGTTTTATAGCCTAAATACACCACCTGATTGTAACTTATTTTTTTTTTGCCACAAATACTTGGTTTTTCATTATTTTAATTTTGTAAGTAGAACGGTAAGAGTCAGAGAGGTCTCAATTTTTATTTCTTCAATTAAACTGAGAGAAATCACAGTGACATGAATAAAACACCTTTCATATACAGAATTCGCTGCAAATGTGTGAACACTAGGTCATTTTATGTCATGTACTTGATCTGATAGCTGCCAGGAAAGAGAAATATATATTTGTCTGGGGATCCAACTTCCTACTCGACCTGCCAAAGCAACCTGCAGACTCAACTGCACTCACCGGGCACATGTATTTTTCCATATCCCTGGGGCCTAGATGTGTCGGTGTGTAACTTATGATGGAAGTTGATCTTTAGCTAATTGACAAATTCACCAGTAAGTTCTAGTGCAAGAGTAGTTTCAGTCCACAAGAATATCAATGTTTTCCTTGAAGTATAACATGACATTTTGGGACTCAGCCAAATTATATGCTCCTTTTGTTTCTTGAATGCACCCTAAAGAGTATCTTGAGTAGTGAAATGAAAATTAAAGTAGCTCTGGGCTCCTGGAACTGAGCTAGGATCAGCATTTAAAATCAAGTTTATGTCAGCAGACTAGACTTAAATGAGGAAAACTACTTGATTATGATTAAGCAGTATTTGACCTTGATGAATAAGCATATTATGGAGCACAACCATTCTGATGATGGCTTCTGGTAGCAATGGTCAGGCTAAATTCCTCTGTTAGCCATCATGATGTGAGTGTATTTATTCTAGCAGTGTTTGACATGACAGGTGTTAGGTTTCTATGGGCAACCCTATCCAGAGAACAGAAGAATCAAGTCATTCTCCTTGCAGATTTGACTCTAAATGTGAGTGGGTCTGACTTTATTTTGCAAGTACATTATATCTAAGTGTCAAGTTTTCAGAAACAGTTTAAAAATCAGGCTAAACATAAATACTTCTAGATGA